TTATTGAGGTCTTCCCAAATGAAAAAGTTCAAAACTCCAGGTAATCCATCTCATACATCTAGTTTAACCTTTAACTCGTGACAAGCTGTCTCAGGCTGAGCGGTGTCAATGAAAAAACTTTAAATCTCTTTCTAATGCTTCATAGCTTCCAATTTAGTTGTCCACATCGTAAAGAAGGATAGTAGTGTAGTTTAGTCCCAAATTTCGATGAAAAGTTTGGCAGCAGTCTCTCAGACACTCAGACCCTATGTGTCTTTTTAAGGTAATTTTGATGTATTGTTTTTTCGTATATTTATAGTTATTACTTGCTTTGAATAATTCTGCACTCACAAGAAATAAGCGTAAGGGACCATAGGTTGGGAATGTAGTAAGACAAGGCTGAATGTACTCGATGAAAGTGATCCCTTTTCTCTGTGGAAGAGTATAAAGACAGCAAGCTGATGATGCCAATGACTCCAAAACTTGTTAGCTTGTTAGAGAAATCCTAAGTCAAGGAATACTGTTGATATGAGATGTTACTGATGGAATTGCACTTTACAGTTAGAATTTATCTCACTGTCCTAACAATACACACATGATAGTTGAGAATGCGATAACAGCATATTAATTGTGCTAACAGGTACAATGTTTTCTATACTGAATACATCTGCTTTCTGCATCAACCTTTTTGAGTGTACAATTCAGCAAAAGAATGCATATTTATGCCATAGCATAAAATATATAAATTGTTTTGCACAAATCATTTCAAACAAAAAAATAATTATGCAAATCTGTCTATATATTGACGGAGTTATGACCTAACATACTTCCTAATTAATAACCTCCATTTTGAATTCTTTTTAAAAGTCAAAATTTCTCTACTAGGGTTGACAGGAAGACATTGAATAAATATTTTAGGAAACCCAGCAATGCTTGTATTGTGGTATATTTTGAAATAAATTAAGTAACTAATGTTTATTAAAACAGCTTTTCTACCTGAGTAGGTAGAAAAGCCGTTAAATATTTTTTTATTGTTTTTTTATGTAGAGTGCAACTTCTATACTTTGGCAAGGGCTGCATAATGTCACCTAGCTGCTCTTTCATCATTTTCCCTACATTTGTGTTGTTCAAAAATTTTCCCTTGTTTTTAAAGCAGACAATGAAGGAGTGAAACAATTTGCCGGTGTCAGTCCAAATCATAATGTGAGTATTGTCAAGACAAGTGTAATGGATAAAACAATAGACTTTTTATGAGCTGGGACATTTAACAATTAAGTTAAGTCATTATGTACCATCAGATAGGGTAGGTAAGGTAGTGTAATTTTTTTTCTGTTTTCATGAAAACTTCTTCCCCTATTATACTTCCACATATATAATGATGATTCTGCCAAATCATTGTGATGCCAACCAAAGTTGTTAATCATGGTACAAATACTGCTAGTTATTTTGTAATAAATTGAAATTTCCTTAATAATGATTTCAGTGGTTGTCTTTGATGCACGATGACCCAGGGGAATAAAACACAGAAGGAATATTTTACATTTATTTTAGTCTTACTGTTATAAAATATATAATGTATCATAAACAATAAATGGGTAAATATTTGACAAGTTTTTTTTATTGCTCCTCCATCCTCATGATATAGGAATGAAAATGCAATAAATGTTTATATTTAGAATATTTAAATCTATGTACCCCTTATTTGACACAAGATAGATTTGATATGACAATGTAAAACACTTGTTTTTGTAGATTGTAAACATCTTTCTTTTCCTTAAATAAACATCTTTAATAGAATATAGGAAGAACCAAAGCGCAATGAGTGGGTATCTATATAGTGGTATATTTTGCGGACTTACGGGGGCGTAAAGTAAGACTATGAGATATTCATACCATTTGTAATAAAATATTGATTCAATATTTATAAGATGCATAATTATTAAATATATTAACGAAACTGTAGAGCTAAACTAACATGCATCGGAATGGAGATCCGTGAATTCTGCAAGTCCACTTCCACGATCACTCAAAAAACTTAATAATTAAGTTTTTAGAGTGATCGTGGTGAAATGCTCTCAGTGACAGCGAGAAAGAAAGCGCCTGCAACGTGATTAACGGAAGTAATATATTAATATAATGGATAATGCCCCCCGCAAATGCATTTTTGATCGCATTGGCGTGGATGAACTTCCGAGATTTAAGTTTTTTTCGCCATAAAATAGAAAAAATAATCTTGCGTTATCAGTGTTTTCACTTTGCAACCGAATAGTGTTTTATAATAAAGAAAAACTGTTTTTTTTCATTCCCTGAGATTGTGCGAAATCAGTTTACAAAAAAAATATATAAATGTTTAAATATACATAGATTGGGATATATTGCGAGTTCTTAATATGTCCCAAAGGTATATATTAAACGGCACTCAAATTATTCAAAAAGCCTACGTAATGAATCTATTGACTTTGCATATAAAATATAATTTTCGTTCTTTAAGAAAATTTAAACGTATTGACTACATAAGACCGAAGAATTAAAAAGTACAAATTGGATGCGTATTTCCATTTAAAATTATGACAGATACTAAACTTTCCATAACATAAAAACGGGTAAAATATTATTATTAGGTACCTACAATTTTTTCTACTGTATTGCAATACATATCAGTAATTTGTGCGCAAGTTTAAAAGATATAGACTGCTATGCTGCCCAGCGTGTATTTATTTATATTATTAACATGTGAAAAATCGTTAGACTATCATGAACTATATTATACTATACGGCTCATATAAATTAGGTCATAATAAAGAAAATTAATAATAATTATCTTCTCGAGAATTTGACATGAAATATAAATACTAATATTATTTCAGAATTGAATATGTTCGTATACCTTCCTGAATTCAATATTAATGATAAATTTAGACTAGTCTGTTAACAATTTGGTTATTGAAAATAACATGTGAATACACATTCAAGAATGGGCTATTAATTTTCTCCAATGTGATGTATTCAGTTGGAAAAATAAAGATTTGATTAATGTCTTGTAAGGACATGTATAGACTTTCAAGCAATGTTATGTTAGCTTTGATACATTGTTAACAATTCCAAAAGAACAAATTTATAAGTATAGAATTTTCTATACTTATAAATTTGTTCTTTTGGAATACTTTTACTTTACTAAAACTTTTAACACGACACACAGCATAGTTTCATCTCAGTACATAATTACCAATGTGTATATATTAAAAATTATAATTTAATTTTTATGTTGCAAATGCCTAAGCCTAAAAGAAGAATTAAAATGTGACAGAACCACTTATGTTTTAAATTAACCAGACACTGCATATTTAACATCTATTGTAAGAAAATTGCTATTGAAAATATATATTGATGCACCATACTTGAAATTTAAGTTTTTAGTTCATCAAACATAGTATGTGTTAACTTTTAATGAATTAACCTTTGGTTACTTATATTTAGGCCGCTTTTTTAACTATAGTTTATATAAAACTAATAACATTTTCGACAATGCAATATTTAGAAAGAATTGAACTTATCTACTATTTACATTGATAAAGAGATTAATGGGTACAGGGTTTGCACAAGTCAAATATTCACCCAAGGAAGAGTAACTATTATTTTACAGTCATCTAGCACAAGTACTATTTTCGATATGGAAGACTCTTCAAGGATTTAATGTTCATCTAAATTTCTTTTATGGAAGTTTGATATGCCAATTGTTTAAAAATAAACTATATTGGAAGTCGACATTAATCATTGTAAATATAGTATATATTTTATAAAAATACATACAAAAGAGTTGTTACTGTATCTACTAAGATTTTTCTACAAATTTGTAATATGTTTCATTGATATTTTAAGCATTCTTTAAAAGTATGGACCACAAAATGTTACAGTAAGTTAATTTCAGAAAAGGTTGAATGGAAGCATTCATTATTACATAATTCAATAATGAATATAAATTTAACAAACCCAATATTCCTTAATTCATAAAGCCCTATTTATAACAATCATAATACAAAAGCCTAAAAATGGAAGCAAATGTAACAATATTAAAATTATTTAAATTTTGGATATTTACATGACATCTTTCACAATAGTAATGAAATAAAGATACAAATATGTATATAATTAAAGCGCATCAGTTTGTTTTCACACATTCTGAGTCAGACCCCAGTATGAATAATTACACTTTAAATTAACACTTATAGAAAAAACAAAAATTGCACAATAAAATTTCTACTTATCATAATTTTGGCACTAATTATCTGTGGCACTATAGTTAATTCTTGTTTCAATGTCTTGACTATCACTATGTTCCAAAGTTTTTATATCACTGTCTTTTTCATTGTCACAATTATTTTCCAATAACATTGTAGCATCTTCGTCTTCAGAAGATTCCCTGCCTGCAGGAGGGGCTATAACAACACCACTTGGTTCCCGATATTCTAATTTTGTAGGATCCTTCTCATGAAGTTTCCTAGCAAGTGATTGCAAACTAGCTAAAGAACTATTGCAATCTGTTGTGTCAATGTCTGTTAAACTCACACCGGCACGTTCTATTTCAGTAAAGGTTCCAAAAGGTAGCTTGAATAAACATTCCAATCTCATAACATGCATTTTACTTCTTAAGTGTTTAGCTAAGTGACCATGTATTCTGAATGCTATGTTACAGTCTGAACAGCGGAATGGACGAGGATTAAATGATGTTGCTGCTCCAAATGTAGAAGTCATTGACACTTTATTATGATGTGAACCAGAACGTTCATGCTTTTGTAAATGTCCTCTTGTCCTAAAACTAACAGCACAAACGCTGCACCTGAAAGGCCTCTCCATATAATGTATGTTTAAGTGCAATCGTAATTGGGAAGGTTTTGTAAATGTCTTATTACAAAAGTCACAGACTCTACGTCCATCTTCCATCAGTCGCCCTGGTGAATATGGTGACCCTTCAAACTCTTTTCCTTTTGATACCTTAAATGCTATTCCTCCAGCACCTATTACCACTTTTCGGGCCACTGGTTCATGATCTAAAGACGGCATTTTTAAAGATTCTGTTTCAGAATTATTAACATCATCAGCTTTTGTTTTTTCATCTGCTGTATTGCTTTCATCACTCGAATTATCTATTTGACTATGGTAAGAATCACAATCACGTGTTTTTATATGGTTGATCCTTGCGTGTTTAAGATATTCTGAGACGACATGTTTGGCGTTTTCAGAATTACTGCTTGGAGTGCGAGCACGTTTAACTTCTGTGGCATAATTAATAGAAACTGGACTATCCACCACAACTTTTATGTTGTTTTCTTTATGAATCGACGAATGTTTCACAATATTATCTACGCCACTAATTACAGTAACTTTTGAAGTGTATACTTGTGGTGATTTAATTGGGGCTGTAATGTTGCTATTCAGTACATTGTTGGACTCTGAGGCATCATCTGTTTCAATGAATATAGATTTATCTATATCTATTTTCCTTACTTTGCTTAAATTGGATGAAAGCTGGCTCTGTTTGATCTTTGAATCAAGAAGTGCACGTTCTGTTAAATACGTGTGCAACATTGGTTCTCCATTAGACCATTGACTCTGATGTTGGGGAAGTTTTGCGGTGTTAGACGCTAAAGAAGCTAAAACACTGGACTCTTTAGCCGTCGGAATTTCTGGAATATTCGCTGCTTTCATCTCATTTCGGCTCAAATCTATCGGTTCATTATCAATATCTATTTTCAAATCTGCAGAGTTACTGCTAGTCAATTGAGTTTTTTCAGTGTTCGACTCTACTGCAATACTATCGACTCCAACAGGACTGTATGGATAAGTGGTGGGTCTAGCACTTGTTATTAATCCTGGAGTTGCCGACGTCGCGAGACAACAGCCTCCCAGTGACAACAAGCAATGGGCAGCTTCGTGTTCTGGCAGTCGCGATTTATATATCTCCGTATCTAAAATTATACGAATAAAAAAGTTATAAATGAAGTAAAACATAAATATCAATGTTATCTTTGGAAACCATTAATTTATTATTAACAAATGCTAAAACATAACGATACATAATTCTCAATTTGTACACAACGTGTATATTTCGAACTTTATCACACGAAATATGCGTAAACTAGGCAAAAACATATCGATTAAGGTTTTTGAGGTAACCAAGCAGGTCACGCAACGCAGGCACATTTTTCTTTATGAAAACTGCTTTTGATTTTTACTTTGTTAATGGCGCATTTTCTTAAAAATAGAATTGGACGCTAGAATGTCTACGTAGAAACTTAATAATAAACATTGTTACAGCAGCGTATTTTTTTATTTTTGATCTGTAACTTAACGTGGTGTAAAGTTGTTGGTGTAGACTTTTTCCATTGGGTTTGAAGTGGCCGGGTGCAGAGGGCGTCTTGCCTGAATCTCGTTTATGGGTGACTAAGCACGACAGCTCCCGAGTGAGCCTCGGCATCTCAGCACCCCAGTCGGACCGTCACTCTATTATTATTATTTTTTTCTTTCTTTCTACTTAGAGTAGACTTTCTAGCTTTCAATTGTGACTAATTTGAAAAAAATACCGATTTCAAAAACAAAGTCAAAATCAAAAGCAGAGTGCCCAGCTTCTTGAGATGGCGAACCAATTTGACATCAATTTTGTTTTATCGATACTTTTTTGTCTTGTACCCAACATATTTTTGTTTCATTTTGTTTCATTAATTTTCAAAACACTTTAAAGTTTTAAAGACAATTTTACCGCTTGATTCAGTTTCGCCTTCATTTCCCTCATCACCATCGGACTCTGTTTCATCGTCTGTTTCTCCGGAGCACTGCGTCATTTCGAGGCCTTCTTCGTTACCCTCATTTGGGTTTATTCCCAATTCACAACACTTTTTATAATGCGCTTTGCTTTTCATGTGTTTTGTCAAATTTCCTTTAGTCTTAAAGCTAAAAACAAAAAAATAAGTATTGTGTTACATTTATAGCTACTTCCAACATACCTACATGGGAGGTGATGTAATAATATCTTATGACCATGAAAAAATAGAATTTAAGTAATTTGTTTAATATATTTTAAGGAATTAATCCAACAATTTATAATAAAAGTACTTAGAATAGATCCGTTCGTAAAGTAAGTAGATAGTTTCGGATACTTCAAAATTCAATTATTGCCATTCAGTGATGGGATTGATTAAGTTGTGTGACGTCCTGACAAAAATCACGTCGGAAACATCATTAACAGAGAAGTTTTTTTTTCCAGTTTTCAAGAGACATAAAATATTTACCCCGTTTTTACCCACAAGAATGAATCTTACTTTGTGGATGCTTACATTTTAAAATCTACGTAGAGAAATGAATGTTCTGAGTTTACTGAAGTAACTGTTATCTAATCTGCCATCTCCTGTTGTATAATGAAAGTATAATATTGCACATTGTCTCCTTCTGTGAAAATCTGTGGGATTTCAGTCGGTGTAATTCCGACATAACTCGGTCTTCTGCCGAGGAAAAAAATATTGAACATTTAAATGATAAAAATATACTCGGACATTACCTAAATGCGCAATGAGTACATGTGTAAGGTCGGACGTCTGTGTGTGTACGAATATGTTTCTTCAACATTGAGGGCTTCTTGCAACGGATTCCACATTCCGAGCATACATATCGGCCTCTACCGCGACCACGGACATACGTGTATTCTTCGTTGCTTTCAAAACCTCCAGCTAGCTCTTTTTTTGGGGTCGATGTTGCGTCTGAACATTGTTGTTTTGATTCTTCTGCCTTCTTTGTGTCAACTGAAGCAATGGCCTAAAACAACAGAGATAGATGGTTAAAAAATTAAGATAAGATACCTTAACATCCGTGTTATACTTTAGTTAATAATAATAATTTTCTTTTATATGTATATATCTTTTATATTAATAATCATTAACAATAAAATAAGCAATTGTAAAATCATTATGTATTAAAACATTCGTTATTATAATGAAAATATGATTAACGGAGTTAGTTGAAATTAGAAAAACTGTTTAATAATTATTACAATAAGGATAACTAAGCTTTTAAATATTAGAATACCTGTTGATTGTCTTTCAAATTTTTATTCCACTGTGATGAATGAGTCAGAATAAGATCCTGTTTAATCACAGAGACGGCTACATTTTGCGGTCGATGGCGTGAGTCATATAAAGACATTGCAGACGATGCTGACAATCCCAGCGGGTCTGGCGTCAGCTCAGATAATAACTGTAAACATATGAAAGCATTTACCACACAATCTATTACAATAGTGCATTGTCGCAATAAATAAATAAGCGGCAATATTAATATCCAATTACCTGCCAATTACTGTACATTGACAAGAAATGTTGATTTGGTACGTATGTCGGTTGCGGACGATTTATTGTACAGTAGAAAACTTTTGTTGAACATTTCAACCCCAAATACGTATACGCGTTTCCATTTAAATATAGCTGTCCGTAAGCTTTCGCAGGGCGGGGAGTTTCAGGGGATACTAGAGGCATTGTATTAGCGTTGGGAGTAATACCGTGATGTCGCTTCGGTGTAAACGTTCCTGGTTTCAATGGTAACGTAGACGGCCTCAAGAATTTTGGTTTCCTCTCATTGCTCCCAGAACGCGCTGTCGAACTTTTCTGGAAATAAGAAGTCTCTGATCTCTCGTTAAATACAGAAGTTACTGTTGTTTCATGGGCATTCGTATTTTTCTGTACCTCAGAAGAGCTTTGAATTTGATTGTTATATATCTCAGCCTTAGTTATTAGATTTTCGAAATTGAAGTGCCTTATTTCGTTTTCAATTTTTATTTCAACGTTTTTAATCGGAGCCTGAGGTAATAAATCTTTGTAGCGAGTTTTGATTGGAAAAGCATTTGAATTTTCTTTTAAAACTGGTGTTTTCATCAGACAATCACTATTTCTCTTTTGTGCGATATCTTGCCTCGTAGTTGCAAGTCGTACAATGTTTGAGGAATAGCTTTTAGCTACTGATGAGGTGTTTGTATCTTCTACGTTTTTCACTTTTATTATAGGAATATTGGTCGTGTAGGGTGGCTTTTCCGATTTATACGGCTCTTGACTCTGATTGTATTTATCAGTGTCAAAAAGTATTGATCTCGTACTTGGACTCCTTGTTCTGACTCCTTTATCATAGTTTACCATCGTTTCTGTTCCTGTTGGTAAGCTTTCTAGCATATTCTCAACAACGTGTGGCGCATGTATATCACTTGTTACTTTCACACTATTTCCTACGAAAGCAGCCGCTGTATTTGGTCCAGGAATACCTGGTACATGAGGTATTAGTTTTCCGCCATGGAGTATCGTCGTTGGACCATTCGGTGAGGATGAAGGGCTAAGAGGTGGCAAAGTTAATGGGTTGTATGCAGTAATCGCACTTAAAGGTGGGAAGGGAAAATGCGAAATGTCATGAATATTCAGTAAACTAGCATTTTGTATACTAGATATTCTAGACGTCTGTGGCTGCGATGTGCCTATAGCTTCTTTAGGCGTCGGAGGGTTATGCACTATAGTTCCACCTGAATGCAGTCCAGATCGCACAACAATGCTGCTAGCTTCAGAATCTGCATTGAATTTAGATGGAGAAAGATTCGGTTGTATTAAGATTGGAGATAACTGATTTTTACTTGGTTCAATGCGTAAAGTAGTTGTGCTGCCTAAGTGATCGAGAATTTTCACTTCACCACCGAACATTTGTAAAGATGTTGAATTATGTCTTATGTGCGGCGACAATTCTTCTATTGTGCGTAAATTGCCTGAATTGGAGTCAATACATCTCATCTTCGTTTGTGGGTATAAATCGGCAGAGCGTGGTGATATATTCTCCAACAACCTTGGGCTGTAAGTATCAGACCGACTGTCTAGTCGTCTCTTAGGACTAGCTTCTTTAGGCTTTAATTTCATACTTTCCGTTTTCCTACTAAATTCTGTGGGTGCTCTAGCATCTATAAGCCTTGTGTTTCCAAGCAACGGACCAGGTGAAGGCAAAGGTGCAATCACATCAGTGGATTCCTGTTTAAAAATAACAAGGTTATCGGGTTTACTTTTAGAAGCGGGAGACTTTGCATTTACTTTAGGACTGTATGACTGTGTTTCAGGTAAGCGCACGTTTACCGAATTACTTCTTGTGAAAATGTTCTCCGGTCTGACCATTTTCGGTTCCTTTTGTACACTCAAAGGACTAGGGTTAGCGGATACACTTCCTTTACAGTAATAAAGCCTATGGGTTTCTAAATTATCAATACTTCTGAATATTATTTGGCATAATGGACATACATACAACGTTCCAAAACCATCAATTGATTCTCCAGTTATTGGACTTAATCCATTAGCCTTACTTTTAAGAAGAAGATCCTTTATAATCGAGCCTTCCGGATTGAGAGGATGTTTATGGTCATCGAACGGAGAAAAACTTTCTGAATGAGATCTTTTCCGAAACGAATTGTCAGAGTTATTATTCTTTGTTAAGTTTAAAGGAGATGTATCTTGTTTTGTATCGGATTCGTTTAGAAACTGTTTACTTTCAGCAATTTGTTTAATTTTACCGTATTTTTTCTGCAATGGTGTTTCTATAACATCAACAATAGCTTCGTTATCAGATATAATTTTAGAGATATGTTCCGTAAGAAATTCAGCGTTCGGCGAAATCGTTTTCTTTATCTTATCTTTTTCATCGATGCCTTGATAAAACGCTGCTCTAAACTTGGGTTTATAAATTGTTTTCGTTTTACCATCATTTAATGGGACATTAATGGTTGCCGGGGGAGTCTGGCTATCATTTGTTAATTCTGGAGAAGAAATTTCATTAGTTCTATTATAATCAAGTCGAATAAGCGAAGCGTCTGATCCGGTATCAGAAAGAGATGTAGGCGGTATGGAAGTATCACTTTCTGATCCACCAGATAAATCTTCGTCATTAATAGAAACCGGAACGTCTGTACCCTGCAGTCTTAAAGCATGTGTTCTTGATCTCTGATGTTTGTATAAATTAGATTTAGTTTTAAAAGCAAAGCCACAAGGTATGCAAGGAAAAGGTCTCTCATTGGTATGAGCTCTGATATGTTTTTGGAGAACTGAGGGCTTGGCACATGATAATTTACAATACGGGCATATATATCGCCCTGTTCCTCCACTGTAAGTGTCCCTGATAAAATCGTTCTCAAGGATTTCAGTCTTATTTAAAAATTCTTCAGAAAAACTGGTCTTACCAGATACCTGAACAACATTATTTACATCACTTAACCTACTGTTCACTTCATTAAAATTAATTTGTACATTATTTTCTATTCCAACATTCTGTATCTCTTTAATTTTCTGTATTTCCGGATGTGCTGCTGCAATGCTCCCATTCGAAATAGATGTATCAATTGATGAGGCAATAGTAGTTTGTTCTTTTTGTCTGTTTTCCTCTGATTTAGATGGATTGGTTGGAAAAACAGACATGGTGGACGCCATTTTCTTAAATTTCTTATGGAGGTAGCTTTGATCATTGTTGTTAGTGAAACTACCATCAATACGTTTTTCTTGTGTAAGCGGCATCTTACCCGCGACTGTCGAATCTGAAGTAAGAAAAAAATCAAAATATTATTCTCTATCTCAAAATCTATTCAATAATACTTAAACAAACGTAAACCTGTGTCTTGTTGATCCGTTGCTAAAGATTTCATGAATTTAGCTTAGCAAAAGAAAATATTGTGATACGATAATCTTCCCAATTAATTTTAAAAGGTGCCAAGAAAATTTATTTTCTTGTGTGTTTTTCTTTATTTACGAGATTACACATTACTACATGAAATTATTTTTATGTTTTTATCGCGTTTATTCTTTCGACGCTTCGAAGCCTTTTCAGCATTTATGTTCCCTGGATAGACGGAAGCGTTGGACGTCTTAATTTTATCGAGCTACCACCGAAGCTCGATCTAACTTTTTAATTGTTGTAACCAAAGCTTTTAAATTGTTAATTTTGTGTCCGTTCTACACAGACGGAGATAGTTCTTGTCCCTATTGCAGTATTGATTCATTTCCGCCAAGATTTAATGTTGTTGGTGCATCAATTCATCAAATTGGTTTCATCAAATTGGTTTCATCAATTGGTTTTCATATATTATATTCCCCGCTTGCAGTATTAGATATGTATAGCTCAGTATTAGAATATCAGACGTGAATAGATTTTTAACTATTTTACTTAAAATTTTTTATAGATTTGGTACACCTTAATAAAATGTATAAATTGAAATAAAATAGATACGATTTATACAATCTAGTGCTTTATTGATCAAAAGTTCGCACATACGGCAGATGAAGAGTTATTTATCATTTGCAATAGATCTCAAATCCAGTTAAAACAGGATTTCTTATATCTTAATCTATATGTTTTTTTATCTGAAATTCGCCCGCGGCTTTGCTCGCGTTGAAGCCCTTAAATAAATATCTTTCAACCCTTCACAACACTTCCAATTCAAAAATCCCCTTGTTCTTTCTCAGGCTCTAGACTATCTGTGTACCAAATTTCATTTAAATCGGTTCAGTAGTTTTGGCGTGAGAACGAGACAGACAGACAGAGTTACTCTCGCATTTATAATATTAGTATGTATTTTCATAATAAAGATAAATAGCTACTTGTTAATAATAAACGGCATGTTACAGGTTACAATTTTTCAAAATGTTTATTTATGGCATAACTTTCAATGACCTATTTATAAGAAAAAGATGTACGTTGTACTTAAATTTTTCTAAAAGCTGTTTTTATAGTCTCTATGTGGTACACATTATTTGAAAGCAAGGTAATGTCCAAAGTTCACAACAGTCCTACAATTTAACTTACATAAAAATTCTATCATGAACATAAAAATTATTGCCACAGCTCATGCCGCTTATTACCTACTCATAAGGACAAATTAAACGGCATATTAAGTAATGAAAAACTGTTCAACCATCTGCAATATAAATGAGTAAGAATCAAATAACGAATATGGTTGACAAATACTTAGTCGACACGGCATTACGTTGCGGAAAGGAATTGACGCAAGGCGCATGTGCCGGGCTGTGTTGTGTCTATTAATGTGCCGTGTGACATCATCATGACGTAGGCACGGTTTGCGCCAACTGACGAGGATATCCCCAAGTTTTCATAGTTATTTTTTAGGTAGTATTTATTCGGTAAGTTGGTTGTGTATCAAGTAACGATACCTTAGTACTTATTTAATCTAAATAAAGATTTTTGCTTCCTACCATTTCCTTGACAAAAATGTGCACTTCATAAATTATGCCTTTTGTGTCACATTTACAGAAGTAAAATTTCTATCGATTCAAGAGGGAATTTTTTTTAAAGTAAATATTCTAACCTTTCTACATATTTATGAATAATCCGCTCAATAAAGAAATAAACGCCCATGCGTGAAGCGAGCGAGTGTGAGAATTCTCGAATCATTAGTGTGTGTTTATCTTGACACAATACAAATCCGTGTAGAGGTATGGGGAGGTGACCTCGCTTTGCGCTCACTCAAACTGTTCGTGGACGGCTGCGTTGCTGCGTTCCAAGAAGGCGTTACAATTTCCAAGAACCGGAGACAGTCAAGCCGCTCCGCTCGTTTAAACGAGCGAGCAAATAAGTACAGTACGGCACTACGCACACAAATGTAAATGCTCTATTCGCTTGGTAATCGGGTGCCTAAGTGTTGGTCAATGCTAGTGTGATTTGCTGATTTGCGCTTTTTATTAACAAGAAATAAATGGCGAGTATTTAAAAGCATCTACCTATTTTCTTTAAACATGGCAGGCAGGCTCATTTTTTAACGAATAATTTTATAAAAATATTTTTTTATAAAACAGATAAAAAAGTCGAAAAATTTACAAATCAAAATGTATTAATATCCCTTTTTTGACGAACCAAACATACTTATTATTTTTTTTCGAATGGGTAGAGTTCTAAATTTCCGATATTATGGATGAGATGTAAGAGACAAAGGAATCCCAGTGGTCGGCTGCCGCCCGCCGGCCTGGCGCCAAGCCAGGCGGCCCTGGCGACGCCTGTAGCGACCGCCAGCACGCCGCCAGCCTTTCCCACTCCTCTTAATAGTTATTTACCTGTAAAACTAGGACCCTAATTTCAACGTGGATATTTAATACTTATTAATTAAAGATCATACAATTATAAACCTTGATTCAGAATCTTTTCATTAGAGACAATAATTATTACTTATAATAATTTTTGGAAGATTTCAAGAACAAATGATAACAGCTATTATTTCATAAATGAAAATAAAATGATAATTTGTTTAGTAGCACATTTTATTTATCAGTTTTAACATAACCGTGACGTAAAATTTGTTTATGAGTCTGAAAACGGAGATGTAAACTGGAATGTAGGTATTGATGAATGAATGTTAAGTTGTAACCATTAGTTTACCTCTATTTGTAATTGATTTAATGTTTGAATATCATTACAGGCAAATAAATGCCGATGTAATGTACCTACGAAAGTTCCTAGGCCTTGACCCATCGATCGAACGCTAAACGGGTGAAAATAAATCGTAACATAGATAAGGTATAGATACTACAACTATGTATGGAACAAATCAAAATATGAATCGTTCTTACCTGCCGCGGAGTAATGAGTCAGTCCACCATTATTTTAGAAGGTTTCTTGATATCATTTGTTTACGCCTTCTAAACATATGTCAACAAGTCGGATAGGCTGCATTTCACCCGCGCACAAGTGAATCATCGTTAATAATTGCGCGACTATCTACGCCACCACACAGTACACACATATACACACACCTTATCGTTACTCGTGTCTCACTCGCACTTTGACACAACACCACCACTTTCTTTTTCACGTACAATAATTATCGACGTGTATGTAGACAATTATTTATTTTATCTATTATCCGTGAGTGTATCTCGGGTGGACGTACATTCCAGCAACGAACTACGCACGTTACCGCGCTGCAGATGGCTGTTCAACTGTTTGTAGTTGTACTTTGTCGTTGCGTTGCGTCGTTTCGTCCGTTCGGCTATACACTTAATTCCCCGCACCGCCCGTACTTCGCCCCGCGTGTCTCCCCGAGCCCGACTGTGCCCGGTGTAAGAAGTGATTCATGTCGCGTTGTATCTATCTCCTTCCTACATCGCAACCGGATCGGTCGCTCTTCGTAATCTATTTATATATAACTATCTATGGACGGACTTTTAACTCCGCAAACACAATGCCAACTTTAAGGCTGCGGTCCTCGAGCGTGGGAACTTTTTATACAACCCCTACATAGATATTTTCCACTCATACAGACGCAACGCGCTATAGAAATACGCATCCTCGACACGAACAAATCATCTTTCGGTGCTTCGCAAAAGCTACATAAGCAACACGCGTTTGTCTTCGTAGGATGTTTATGGGTGTCAAGGAAAACACGCAATGTATTTAGTCATTAGCTTCTCGCATCGCAATGAACTGACACTGGTCCGGTAAGGGCGATGACTTAGTAGTGAATAGCTGGCGGCAAAGGGCGCGGCCAAAGTGTACGTTTACTGTGTAATTAAATTAACATTATTTTTCGTCTTATGGAGAAAAAAATATTTTGTTTAATATGAGAAATACGAATTTTATTAAAAACAAGGATTAGTATAGATTAAAACTATGACAGTGGTTTGACCAAATTTTATTTATTATAATTTTTTTCTTTTACATTTAATTTTTTTATCTTAGGGATAGTTGTTTCATTTAAATTTTCATTTTTCCGTTTTTTTGTTCGCGTATAGCTTCTCTTTTTTTAATCGCCTCCATCAAATAAATTGGTTCTCTCACCTCCATTTTCCTGTCAATCCTAGAATCTATAATTTCCGGGAGCATACAATCAATGTAAAACATCTTCAATTTCCTTTCCATTTTTTTCCCCCCAGAAGTCATCATCTTTTTTAATAAATTCAACTTTCATGTCCACGCTGGTCCAAACCATAAAAATGCATTGACTTTTTCGAGTGATATGAAGCTGCCCTTGGATCTGATAATACCAGTTGTGATTGGTATTTATTATTAAATCTCCTGCTGGATTGCGTTTCCAGAAAGTTATCTTTTTTTTATTAACACCGTCATTAATAGTCATGTTCGAACACGAATATGGACACTTTATTTCAACGATTTTATCGTCATAATCCATCTGGGCTTGCTCCTATATAGGGTATTTCTGGGTCTACAAATAACCCGCATTTTTTTATTTCGGGTTGGGAACTATCAAAACTTCTCAAAAATACTGTTAACTGTTCCAAGGCAATATTTTCGTGTTACTTTGCCATGCTGTATTGATTTCACGTTTTCTAAATTCACTCCACGAAGCAAATTCTTTACAAGAGGCCCGCATTTTATAAGACCTCTTTTGCAAACTTTCCCAATACTTGATGCAGTCAGCCGCTGTAGTCTTTCTTGCATCCATTCTATGGAGTCTGATTGCAAGACAGTTCTCCTTTCCAGATTATCCCTTTCCACTTCTGTAAGACTAAGTTTTTTTAAATGTTCAATTTTTGCAAATTCAAAATCACTTTCACTTAAGTCTGGTTTTTGGCAGTAATAACCATAGTTTGTGTCTGCATCATTGCCTGCAAGAGACTAATTTGTTCTGCGGCTTGGTTTGTTTTTTGGGCGAATTCCTTTCTTTTTTAATTCAAGACGGCTTATGAATGTGTTCGATTTTTTGTGGATTATCTTATTAAATAGGAACATTAGTGGCTGTTTTGTGTTAAATGCGACAACGGACGTTGCGCAACGCGCTGAATAAGACTGCCTATTTGAAAAGTTGATCCGTTTTCCTCCCACAAACTTGGCTACTATACTATTAAATACTTCGGCAATGTTGCTGTTAACGTTATATATTAAACTTTTTGCATTGTTCACCAATCTGGATACAAGTTTCATTATTGCATTGTATAATGTACAAGCTTTCATTTCTGGAACAAAATTTTTACCCGTATGTTTCTCATCTGCAGTATTGAGATATTTGCAATAATAAGGCTTGCAAGCTAAGTGGTTACCAAAAACGTGATTTGGTCCATTTAATAAATCATTTTTTAAATCAATGATGTTTTTTTCCTTTTGAGAGTTGTTATGCTTTACAGCGCCAGTTACTGAACGTCTCAAACGTAATATGTTTCGTAACAAAACTTTGCGTAAGTGCAAGGGGTGCCTAGTATTTTTCGCCAGTTCAGCCAACTTTGTGCAGTAATTAAGAAGTAAGTGGTTGGTGCATTCTATTTTTTCCACAACTACACTAGGATATGGATTAGCATCTAGTATACTTTTGTAGGTGCTGGAATCTCCATCAGCGATTAATTTTGAGTATATTATACCATACATTTCTATGGAGCTTGTAAAACCTTCGGTTATAGCAACTGCCTCCATTCCACTCGAAGAACCACTGTAGTTCTTGAAACAAATGTGTTCTGGACAAGAAATGTTTTCATTTGCTGCTCTGGCACAGATCATGCAGTACTTGTTTTTAACTGCCATATAGAGGACTTTCTTGGTCCTGTATCCAATTATCACAGCGGCACCTGACAAGGCTGTATAGTTTTTTTTCTATATGATCTTTTAGACCAGCATGCGTCTGCCACCACCGTGATCATCCGTTAGCGTCAACATCACCGTTTTGCATAGCTAGAACGTATTCCTCCTTCGCAGCTTCATCCATGCACTTCTGTTTTGCCAACTCCCACAATTCACAAACCTTTTTATGACATTTAGCATATAAGTTTTTTGACATGCTGGGTATTCCAAAAGAAGCCGATACCTGTTCTAATCCTGCATAACCTGCTCCTATTGACATAAAACTTGACACGGCTGTTTCGTTGAGGTCAAGGTCTTTACTGGATTCGACTTGTTTACAATTTTTCACAAGTAATTTCATGTTACACATTTTACAAATAAAAGTGAATTCGGAGCAGAAACCTTTCCTTACTTCTTTTAAAAGTTGTAAATGACTAAAATCACAACCTAGGGGAGAGTTGTGTTTGGAAATTTTTTGCAATTCTTCAAAGAAGTACATAAAATCGATCACTCTGCGCCCATCTACTTTAAACTCTTCGTTATCTTGTGCTTCTTCAAAAACAAGTGGAGTATTCCGATCTGTGGCTGTCTGAAATAATATTATTGAATTACTTGTTGATCTTTTCAATATACAAACTAAACTTTTTACAACGACCTCAACTTCTTTGTAGTTATTACTAAGGATAATTTGCTTTACATTGTTACCCAACACTTTTTATAGAGTAGCAACCACTCATTAGTAAAACAATACATTGTTTAGACCCAAATAAATATTTATTGCACTGCTTCAATCACAATACTTATAGACAGTAGTGGAATTCTTAGAAATGTATTATATTCATTTGTTTGTTGTAATTGCCTAGCACGTGTTTACTTATTTTACTTCCTATTATCATCTTATTACCGTAAGTTGTCTTTGAGTTATGTCAAATTATTCTTAGTTGCTTTCAAATTTTAGAATAGCTAGTAAAGGAAAACTTCATGAATTGACAAAAAATGCTATAATTTGTGTGATGTAAAAGGGAAAAACCACTTGTTCGTAATATTATATTATTTCTTTCACGTTCCGTTTGAGCAAAACTCTTTATAACGCAATCAAAAACCTGGCCCCATCAATTGCGCTGTATAAAATACACTCTACGTTACTTTCGTTTATATAAATGAAAAATATTTACTGCTTCCGATGACAGAACAATATCTTGCATATTTTGTTCCTGCAATGGAACTCTTATTTCTTTTTGGATAACGAGGCCTGGAAAGTTCTGTCCCGACGTTGCCTGAAAGGTATCATTTAAAATTATTACACGGTAGGCACTTGAATATATTATAGTATCGAATTGATATAAAAAAAATAATACTTACAGCTACGCTGCACGCATCATCGATAATTTTTTTGTCTTTCCGATTTGAAATTTCCTGTTTTCTGAAACAATATTATACGACATAATTATATTAGTAGAATGCATCTTTGTGCGATCTTAATCACCTATTTTTAATAAGGTAACTTTAAAAGTGGTTTCAGAAAAATGAAACAGAAAAACACAGCATATTAATTCAGTAACGATGAAGATGAAATATAAAATCAAACATAACGGGTGAGAAAAAGAGTTTCAATAGCAAACATGTCAAAACTAGTACCGACTTGATCCATAGTACTAGTACATACAAGGCACAACAATTAAAAATAGCAAATTATGGTAGGCCGTATAATCACTTTACTTCGTGTAAGGTGGTCGAGCGTAGACTTACTAGGAATTTCAAAAAAGTTTCAAATAAATAAATAAAAAGCGCCTGCGGAGGCGCTTTTTTTAGCAGATGAGAAGGTACTTACTGTTTTGTTGTAAATCTTCCTTTATTTTGTTTTTGTTTATAGTAATTTTTTCTATGTTTCCCCATATCTACCTGAATGATAAGAAAAATAAATAATGATTTCAATAACTACATTAGTGTGGATAATTATCAATTAAAAAATAATATATAAAACTCACATACCTACTTTGTCTACTTCTTATGAAGAATAACAATTTGCTGACGTGTCAGACACTCGCGACCCACCCTTATACAGCGAACAATAGATATATCGCGGAGCAATGTAGATCGACGCGAACTAAGACTGGACGTGCGTTCACCTTGAAAACTGAGACGGCACTGAATTTTTCCCACCCGGCGTACAGTGTTATATACCGAATGACGGGGATACTATACTTCATACTAAAATGTATGGGGACGGAGGAAAGGCAAAAATCAATGATGTTTATGCTTAGATTAAAGCTTTTTTGTTTGAATTAGTAAAAAAACTTCACGGTGAAACTATTACTCCTACATTCGTGTCACGATTTAAGCAAAAATATTTTCAGATATATTAACAAATTAGCGTAAATACTTAAAACAGAAAAGAGCGATATATAGGTTTTATACCAATGTTGACGATTTTTTTTCTCAAAAATTAAGAATTGTTTTAGAAATATGACGCGGTGAAATGGTAGACTAATCTGTTAAGCAAAAGAGGTTTTTTTTTAGAGTCATTTAATTAAGTAACTTCTTTGATATCTTTAAAACGGTAACTGCCTATTCGCGCATTTGTCGGGGACGAGCCTCTTAAAGAAATTATTTCAGAATTGCTATATATTCAGGACTGTATAATATTATGAAATAGACATAGAGACGCACTTGGGTCCGGGTCACAATTTTGTTATAATTTGTGAAGTACGTACACTTCTACTTCGGCTCGAATATGAAAATCCATAACTGACGGAAATAACAATTAAATTTAGGCATTATAATGAGACCCAGTGTAATTTTCATGCAGCAACGATTTCGTAACGGTTGCGCTCAACTAGAACCGACGGGTATTGGCTTTGCACACTGTTGTTGATTTAACGTTCTCCAACATTATATAAAAATTGTACAGAAACTTTAAAACTGTAAACAATTTTAACATTTTATTGGTATTTTCCTACATTATTTTTTATCTCATGAACTCACTATCGACAAGACCTCTTTATCAAAATTCAGTTTGTATCAACACACTACATTTATATTTAATTTACAGACAAATAAGTTGGCGTCATTCTCACAATAATCTTAACATTTAGTTGTTAAGCTGCCTATGAAAACTTCTATTGGAGAATCTCCGAGGTTCCTAAAGGCTGATATGAATGTATAAACACATTATTTGCAATGATAATTGTGAGCGCTTATCAGCAGTGCGGAGGCGATGACGCACGGGCTACGCCGATAGCAGCCTGTCGCTTGATTCTCAGTCAGGAAACGAGCATTACTTGAATAAAATAATCGCTATACATAATTTATTACTTTATTAAAATTCTTACAAATATTAAGCAAAAGTAAATTTTACTTCATTAAAGAAAACTCAATCCTTTAAATAATATCCAGTAGCAAAATTTTTACAGCATATAAAGCGTGAATGTGTCTTTGGCTACGAGGCACTTGTTGCGTTGTTTAGTTTGCGTTTTCGCCTGTTGCCGAGTCGCGACGTCACTTCACGACCTTGAGCCACGCTGTGCCACGCGGCACTAGGAGTGTTAGCTACTGGTTAGGTATCTAGTCCGTAGATTTTAACTAATTATAATAATCCTATATCCTATTCTTCAATCGCCATACAAGTCACGACAATAATTCTGCCAACGTTAAGAGTTACTTATGAGTTATTTTTACACTAAAGATAATATGTGAATTGGTACAAAACTAATGAGCAAGGCAGTGGATATTTCCACATTGACTCGTTTAACATAGCTATTGAGTAAATGCGTTCGTCCAGTCAGGCGCCATAAAGTCGCGTGGGCGGGAAACCCGTCTTGGTGGCAAACGTTGAAATGAACACAAAATACGAACATACGCACATATCTATAGTGCTTTCTCGCTAATTTATTTCTGAGGTGCCAGCGAGAAAGGAACTTTATCACCAGTAAAGAAGTTAAGATTCCGTTTTGACATTGAAATTATTAATTAAGACGTTGATTTGCCGACGCTATATAGCAAAAATATTCACAGTATCGCGAAAGGAGTGAGAAATGGTTTTACATGCATTGGAATGTTTACTTATAAACTAAGCTGACCGTCGTCGTGGCCTCCCCACTTCCTCAGGCTTCCCTCGGAACCAGGTCATCGGCTGTTTGGCCTGACCGCTATTTCGACTTCGGCGTGACGGGCCGCGCCCGTACACAAGTCTCCTTGTTAGGTGCTCTGTAGACCAGCTGCGTAACGCCTACTTACTTTATACTCAGCTAATCGATAGCAAACCAGTGTCGCTTAAACGCAAAGGAATGTAATGAAAGTTAGTTTCGGATCAACCTCTTAACGAGGTATTAATTTCTATTAATTAAGCATAATATTATTCAGGGAACAATAAGTATGGCGCAAGTACAATACAATGTACAAAAGTAAGATTTAAACATTAAACCAAAAGTAAGATTTAAAAAAAAAATTTTTTCGATTTTACCACCGTAAGTATGCGTAGATTATTATTATCTTAAACGCACATAATATGCAATCATTTCCATATAAGTAAATGATTAATGAATACAAGTGCGCCTTATAGTTTGAAACTAGACCAAAGCTTCTACTATAATTTTTACTGTATGATAGTATAAATTGCTGTAGCAAAAAATTTAAATGTAATAAGAAATTTTTGTAATGCCAATAACTACATCCCCATGACTGAAAGAGCCCTATAATATTAAAAAAGATCGTTATTTTATTACAGCAATATAATTATGTCTCTATCTACTAAGTACGTACATTGATATAGAGAGAATGGCGTCATTCTCCGCGAATTCTGGCTTCACATATAAACAACAAAAATGTAGGTACCTTTTATGTGAATGTGATAATAATACTCGTGAGTCATCCGAACCCACTTGACCAAATAAACTAACTTCATTGTCACCAATGTTTCCTCAATGAAGTTTTATACTTACATAATTTGCATTTGAAAATTTTTCTTGAAGATAGTTTAAGAAATTTCAAAACATATGATAAAATAAATGAAAGTAACTGACTTGATATTGTTATAAAAAAATGTTATACCTGTATTTAATTTATAAGATATGTATTATATCTATTGTATGTGAGTCTTTTTGACCGGATTGCATACGTGAAAATAGACTTGGCATGCGTTCCTGAACATTACGCGTGCTCACCAAATTCGATAGAGTGACAGGAGCGGTGAGATCTAAATTTGGCTTCCTGCCAATATCGTCAGAATTCATCAGCCCCGAAGTGTTCCTACTTCCGAAACGGATTCTTTGTAAATATCAATGTACATATTGTGGGCATAAATTTAAAGATTCGTAAGTTCATAAACACGCACCATAAGGCTATACATTCTATTTTATTATAATAAAGCGATGAAAAGTGATTGCGTCTTCAAACGTTGTAATCCCATTTTTGATTAGATTGTGATAAAAAAGATAATTTAAAAACCGCTGTGTAATTTAGTTACGTATTACACGAGATAAACTTATACCTACCACGTTAGGATGCCATATTATGAATGGATTATGAAGTATTTCAACTTTATATTTTTTGTGTTTTAATGAATAGAGCAGTGGTAACTACCAGTTTATTTTTTATTTTATGTGAGAGTGTCCAGTGTAGACTTTCATATATATATATATATATATTTATTTATTGTCGCGATGGTAACGACACGCTGTATATATATATATACAGCGTGTCGTTACCATCGCGACAATAAATGAACACACGTCTAACGCTACTTGCCATAATCATAAAAAAATATTAACGTTGAAACAAAATCCATAATTAAAAATTTGTCTCTTTTAAATTCATTCAACCCATTCATATGCTTTGTGACCTCTACAAATGAACTTTACGTTACGCTTTTATAGGTAAGGGTGTTCTTAAATTCTTTGTTTTGGAAAATTTAATAACTCTGTAAATATTGATTTTTAAAGAATTTAAATGTTTAATACAACTTTAAACAGTTATCCCCTATATGTGTGTTTATTTATTGTCGCGATGGTAACGACATACTGTATATACTAAGCTGTGTAAACTTTATACTATTATGAGATGATTTGATTTGAATGTCAGGTAGCTTTTTAGCACTAAGCTCTGCAACTGGGAAGAAATTTTTCAGCATAATTTGCAAAAGCACCAAAACAGCCCATCAATAACATAGGTAATAGTTATTAAAAGACATGTGGTTTTGTCTTATATTATTCCCATAAAAACGACACCCTAAAATCGATTTCTTGATATTATATTATAGTAAATTGGTGTCTTAGCTTTCTACTACATAGCATAGCAGCAAGATATCTACATACAATACTAATTTATAGATACTTCTGGAGAGCAGATAGTCAACTACTATGTGCCCTTTTCGTGTTATTTTATACTTAATTATTGAACGAAGTTATTATACTTGTCTTTTGCTTTAATTTAAACCAGCAAATTTTGAGACAGTTTTGTGACACAATAAGTGTGCTTTTATTTATCATAACCAAGCTTTACGTATAACATACAGGCATTCACTAACTCACACAATGAACATTTGTGATATATTTCTTAAAGCTTCGTTTTGTTGGATTGGTCCGGTCCAGTAATTCTTAGAATACACTTAGCACGCGCCGAAGTCGCCAACTCGTCGCCACTCGCCACCCGTGGCGTCGGGTTACAAACTTTTTCACGTTTACCATTCTGATATTTCTAAGAAATTTCTCGTGGCCAACTTTATTTTTGTTTTATTATATGGGCAAATAATATAATTATAACTTTTATACACCTGTAGGGCTTTGCTCAGTAGTTTGATATAATTATGTAAGTATATAGAATTACTTTTACTTTACAGTAGCCGATCAAACAAGTTTTATACCATAACGGAACACCTATATTATTACAAAGCGCACTTAATTATTTTCTATGTTTTTAACGTATGTGTAAAAAATATTGAATATTCCGGCACTTCGTAGGTCCCAAGCAGAGAATACAGAAGAACAGTTCTTTCTGTATTCTGAGGTCCCAACCCCAATCGTACCAAGAAGGTTAAATATTTCGCTTCTTATATAATTTTACCTTTTCTTTACTATCCAGTATTATTTACTACAGCAAAAAACATTTCTTGGTCATACATAATCAAAATTATGAATTTATTCTGGAGGTGAATTGGTTCTTAATAAGCTGAGCTAGAGCGCTATTGAACATTTACAATTATTGAAACTTACTACGTAATAACTAGATATGTTAAATTTTTTTAGATTTTTATATAACCTTATAAAGCCTTACATTCAAATACATTTGTATAAAAAATATTCGTTACTTCAAGTAATTTAAATGAGGGTAGGTTAGGTACCTACATAAATATAGACAACCTATAACCATTTAAAACACAATTTGAAATGTAGGTCCAAAATCTTGGAAATGTATAATATACTTAACTTCTTTTGATCTTCCGTAATTATAATAAATAAAACATAACTTTGTTGATCTCAAATTTTAGCTCTTTCATTATTCAAGTTAGTTTTTAAGATAAAGCTGTATAATTTCTGATAAATATATTTATATAAAATGGGTTAGGAATTTGCAGACAACCAAAAAGTATTTTTTTTGTTGATATGCAAAAGGATATGAAACACAGAACACTGACACTCTCTTGATCTGAAACGTCCATACCGAACGTGAAAATCCCTAATTAGTAGTAGTACCTTATTCCTACTAGGGTTGCCAACTGTTTTTGAGAAAAATAAAGTATCACATGTTAGAAGTAGAGAAAATAAAGTATTTGGAAGAAAAAAAAAAAGGATTTTACAAAATTTTATTTATTTCTTCTATATCTATCTTTTCTTTTGAAGATATATTTTATATGCACATGCTTACAGTTTTTCACTACATTTAAATTACTGGAAGCTATCTTTAAACTTCTCAATTTAAATCAAAAAGGATTTCATTTTTTAATACAATGAAAATTTGTGGAAACATGTAGTAGCACACAAAGACACTGATCCCACAAAGGCTTAAAAATATATCAAACGACAACTTATCGCATAAGAAAAAAATGATAAAATTTTCTAAGGAAACATGTTTTTTTTAATAAAAAAATATAATTGACAGCTAAAGCTTCTTATTAGAAAGCGGACTGTTTTCACTTAGAAATATCGATTAAAGGTTTGTAATTATTCATAAAGGTACATACATTGTGATACATTTTATGCATCACAGTAAATATTGAAAATAAAGTATTTTCACATGCTTTATTTTTATGCAAAAGTATAAAGTATATTTACCAAAAATAAAGTAAAATACTTTAATATATAGTATGGTTGGCAACCCTACCTTTAACCTACCTTTTTTAGGCCACGTGACATCACTCATTAGGGTTGCCACAGCAATCGTTTTCTTGGATGCCTACCTAGTCTGCTCTGTTATTGTCAAACAGATCCAAACATTATTTTCAATTCAAAGCCTTATTTTTATCACATATTTTTATATAACATCTTTTGTTTAATTGCAATACAACGACTTATGAAATGTAATAAAACAAAATGGGTTGTAAATTATTACAATTGTTCTTGTTAATATTTGTGTTATTTTTTTGTTAGCTCAATACAAACATTCAACGCTTAACACACAATACCATTTAAATGAATCGTACGTAGGATTTACAAGGAACTGAAATAAAATCATAGACCTGTTGATGATTAAAAATTAAAATCGACCAGTGAACGATTTATCGAGTGAATTCAATAGGGGTCACGTAAAAACACTTAACAATGACCTCCAAGATACTTACATAATTAGTTGCACTTTGTCCTTATTTAAGGGAACATACATTGCATGCGGTCTGTTAGTGATCTTCGTACCTACGTTTTATTTCGTCAAAATTTTATCATTGTGTTTTCTAATTGTCATTGACGGTTGACCGATATAAATAATGTGAATATGTGATAAAATGTATCAAGTAATGAAAATTAAAAATTCAAGTTACCGCATTTTATAACACGTTGACTTTAGAGGTTCGTAGAACTTGTAAACAGGCTGGCAGGTTCTTGGGTCAAAAATGCAGAATGCACCTGCCGGGCGCAACACCGCTGTGGTTTTACCATAGATATCATATCTTTGCTTAACCGTCGCTATGTATTTGTATGTAGCCAGAGATCGCAATAAGATTAAATAAATATGAAATGCAAATTATAAATACTTCGTCTTTTATATATTTTATCGTAGAAATAGTGAGACATTACAATTATTGGCTTAGGTATTGATATAACGCATACATTATTTAACAAGTACCTGGAGGACCGAGCTTTACGTTTTTGACGACTTTTAGAAATAAAAAATAAAAACCCGTAGAAAAAAAACAAGTACCTGGAGGACCGAAGCTTTACTCATTTTTTTTTTTTTACTCGGTATACCTATATATATATATATATATATATATATATATATTATATATATATAGTATATATATATACAAGAATTGCTCGTTTAAAGCATAAGATAATTATATTATTATTGTGTTGTACTGTAACCCCAACATATAGGACTTTAAAAACATAGGTTTTTTTTAATGTTAATTAATGAACTAAAATTTTGACTTCATTTACAAAACTTTAAACAATCATAATTTTAATAAAGTGGTTTATAAATAAATAACAAAAAAGTTTGAAATCTGAACTTAAATTTATTTCTTTTGGTATAAGTTTATTTTGTTGCCCAAGTTACACAAAATATAATTATGGAAGAAAATTGTTCATTTAAAACTTATTACTTATTCCAAAGTCAAGTTAATACAATATAAAGAACGTTTACAGCAGGACTGCAATTAACCATTCGACAAAGACCTAACCTCATTTCACCTGAGTCTGAAGAAATTCCACGGAGCAAGTGATTGTGATAAGTAACATGATGAATGGAAGCGACGGTAAGCGGTGGCGGAGGCAAGAAGCCTGTGAGACCGGTCGCGATGCTTTTTATTCCCGATCGCTGCGCGCTGGTGCCGCGCTCCTCCGTGCGCTAATGAGTGCTCTCGCGTGAATATCAATTGATCGTACCAAATATGATACTAGCAGTAATATTTCTACCATAGGGTCCATAACATTAATTTACGTAAAAGAATGATAATAGTTAATTGTACATACTGTCAGTTATATAATTATGATAGCTCGTAAGCAAAAGCAATGATGTTTTGTTATAAAGATGACGCATGTCCATACTGCGCGGATTATAGACAATTTTAAACATTTTATATGTTATATATACACTTATAACTTATAAGTGTACTTATAAAATGTTATATCATGTATAACTATAATTATATGATATAACATATTTGTTATATCATATATAAGTGGATGAGACAGATGATACGTATGACACGGAAAGAGATAGCAGTCTATAGAATTGCAATCTAATTACACCAATTGGCGTAATATTACTGCTTCTGTTTCGGTGCGCTAGTGTCAATATATACTTCATATTCTTATATCACATAATTGCATCAAGGAATTTTTGATATAGTAGATAGGTAATGTTTAATATATAGAGTTAAGTAATTATAAGAATATCTTATTTTATAAATTGAGAAATCGAAGAAATTAAGGTATTTATATCTAATGACAGTACCTTCAGTAATATACATACATATATGTATGTAACACTGGTAATAACGGTACTACGAAATGGTAGTTTTTATCAGCTAATAGTTACGAATAGCCCCTCTAAGATAAGACATACCTACTGTAGTGCACACGATAAGTAATAATTTGATTTTAGTGGCTAATCCATAAAGCAAATGAAAATGAATAGTAGATTTATGATGATGTACCAATCTATCGTTTTTGGTGTTTATTATTCACTCGTCTAAGGCTTACTACGGCAGTAGCAAAACCTTCCCACAGTTCATCTTTTTTGTTCTAGTTTATTTTAACCTAGCAGAAAATAATGTCCGCCCAGTGCGGGTGTGCTCTCTCTGCAGGTGTAGCACCTTAATAGCAAAGGAACTGATGTTACCGTGTTCGCATAAAAAACACTACGTCATCGCGCACCACGCGTGCATTTAATATCGGACGTGGTAGGTCGTGATTGTTCGTGGCTTCGTTCATCGGGCGCTCGGTTCGCGAGAACGGTCGGCGAGCGGCGAGCGGCAAGCGGCGAGCGGGGGCGGACGGACGTGCCAAGGCAGGCAGGCAAGCAACATATTTACTCATACGCCCGAGGCGTAAATCACCGTGCATCTATTTCGAGTGGGCCGGTGAGAAGGGGGGCGGGGTGCGGGCAGACACCGATGCCGGTCTGGCGCCAGAAGGATTCCCCAGCGCCTCTCGCCCCTCGCACTGCGCCGAGGTCACGCGTACCGTGCCTTCGCTCCCGCGAATACCTAATCTAGAATGCTTGGCCTGCACATTTACAGCGTCGACTTTGTCCGTGCTTAAAATGAAAGTTGTTTCTGAATCATTAACTAAAATCAACCTTTATGTAATAAACCACAGTCGTCACCTGTTTCGATTAATTCTATTTTATGCGCGTCCAAACAATTTATATTCACATATCTTTTTAGAAATCAGTAGTATAGTAAGTAGCCTTTGTATATAAGTATTTTGTATATTCCGATGTACTTTAATTGACAATTTTTTTTATTATAAACCTACGTAGTAATTAAAGGGTATAAAAATAAGTGGTTAAAAATATTCACCAAAGATATAACGTGTACTAAGCTTGCGTAATTGGTAGTCTTGACTTAGGTATCGAAAACACAATATGTAGAAGTGGCACTGGCATGTCATGTAGTGGTATAGAGAAATCATAATCGCAACTCGTTTCATTGTGCACTATATGTTGAATTTCACAATTAAATATTATTATGTTACATATAATAGGCTAATTTATAACAAACCACAAATTACTTGTTTTGTAGATGTCGTATATTATTATTAACAGTTTTTTCCCTGTGACTTGTTACTAAAGTAAGTTATTTTATAGGTTTTGAAATCAAATTATATGTAACATAACACACCATGTTTCGATCTGAACTTGGCATACCTAAATAAAAATGCTACTTTGCATCTTCTGTACACAGTTTTAGTTTTACACTAACTTATGAAAATTTTAAGAAATTGAAATAACGAGTAATCCATGCAGAATGTATATAAGCATTCAGGAAGATAAATGGAAGAACAGAACCATTAAATTTATGCGATAACTTTTCAACCAACTTTAAAAAGGAAGAAGTTCTCAATTCGACTGTATTTTTTTTTGTCTGTTGCCTTAGAACTTTCGACCGAGGGAACCGATTTCGTTAATTATTTTTTATTTTAAAGCTGGAGCTTTCCATGTGGTTTCATATTAATTTTATTGGTATTGGATCTTGGGCTCCGGAGATACATAGGGAACTCCTGAAAATCAATTATAAAATTAATGCAGATATTTGAAATCGGTTTTGTTTTTCATTAATTAAAAAACAGACTTGTTTAATACAGTGTTATTCAAAACAAACAAAACTTGAAATTATTTTTAATAATAATGAAACCTAAAAAGGAATTATTCTATAAAATACTGTGACAGCTGTTAGAGAAAAAAAGGATGAACAATTGTAGTCAAAATAATAAAAAATACTATTTATCTTCTCAGGTTATGTAATATAAAATAATAATAATAAAATTCATTGAAACTTCTAATAATGGCTTATGTTAATCTATGGTTTTTTTATTTTTGAATTACATTCTTGTTAACTTGTTCACCTTGGTACATAACAATAATATTTAAAATGATTAATATTTATTTAATGTAGAAAATAATAGAAATACATGATCTAGGTTAGATTATGTATCTACTTTTCTACTGATATATCAAATAAAACATTTAAACAGAGAAGTAAAACCACTAGGCACAATTTAAAAAACAGCAATAGGTTCAATATGCATTATTTAGGTGTTACTTTAATTATTTGAATTAATCTAAGGACATTCCAGCATCATCATCTTTTTTGGTATCTTTTTCTTCCTTAGTCGTTTCCTTCTTCTTGTCTTCTTCTTGACTCTTTGAAGAATCAGAAGCATTTGAAGAGTTCTCTAAAGCTTTAAAGAATGCTTGCATATCACCACTATTGGCGGCCGACGCCACTTCTGGTGGAAGCCCAAATTGACTGATCACAGGACCCATTTGTCCAGATGTTAGTGCAGACGAAAATTGGTTTGCTGCCTGTAACAATTGAAATAATTCAATTCACGTGGTTCGCGTCTCACAGTGAAAATATATGTTATTGATGATTATGTAAATTAATGTGATGATTATAAAAAATGATGATATGAATAAAAAAATATTACTATTCGGCTGCTCTCAGAGACAACAAATAGCGCTAATTTCATTCCTTTAACACATTAAATTGAGAATTTCTAAAGAAAAATAATATCAAAATTTCGTTAAGCTAGTGGGGGGCTAATTGATATAAATATTTTATAATAATCTCCGAGTGAAATTGTTACTATGTATAAAAAGAATTCAGTTAATATGAAATAACAAAAACCTAATATAAAATGTCTGGAATAATAGTGGAAGTTGTAGTAATAATACCATAATTATACTATATTACTTTCTTAGCTCCTAGTTGTGTCACAGTGGAAACATTTTATTTACTACATTGATAATAAATATAATAAACCCATTGAAATATTGAAAATGAGAATTTAAATTTAAATTCATTGTAAGTATGAAGTAGTATTTTATTGACAATTAATCTACAGGATTGTGTCGCTTTTGATAATGATGAATTTACTGTACACCATTAAGTTAAAAATTTTATTAGTAGGTTTGATTTAAAATAACCTGTGTCATTTTCTGTTACAGCTATAGTTCACAAACTGTTTATTAGGCCAGTAAAAATAGACTATCTTTGCACTAAATAACCAATCCAATTTTTGGTTTGTGTGCGTTTTAGGATCACTTACTGAGAATAAAATCACAAAATGCTGACAGATCCCGGTGGCGCCATCTTGAAAAAACATTTTTCAAGATGGCTGATATCTTGCAAACTATGCACTTAAGGTCAAAAGTTAGAAAGAACCATTATTGTTGAAATTAAACTTGTTTTGTAAAGTTTGCTTACGATTTACGGTTTAATTAAGGAACAGGTTTTACGACCGTTAAATATGTTTAATCAATAAAATCCATTCCATTTTTAATGTTATCTTCACAACTTTTATTCAATTTTTTTTAATGTCCATAGTTTTTGAGGTTTATGCATAGAGTATAATGCTACAAATTGAATAAATAAATTAGAAAAAATATCCCACTTCAAGATGTAATTAACAGTCAAAAGTTCACCTGCAATAGTAATGATTTTTTTCTTCTATTTCTCTTTATTTTTTAGAATACAAAAGTTGGTCAGTTAGTGCGAAGTTGAACGAAAAAATCTTTATTGTTATACGAAATTTACTGACCTGTAAGTAACAATAATTTAAAACTGATAAACTAAGACAGTAAATAAATTATTATGTTTATCGGTATATTTTAATTAATTCACTTATCTCTTAGAAATTAAAATTTTTATAGATCTCATCTCTGCATTTAAAATGAATCATTAAAATTTGTAGAAAAGATGGACGAAATGATTTTCGCCGCTGCGGGAATCGAATCCACGCCTTCCAGATTCGCGCTCAGATGCTTTAACCACAAAGCCTTATATTATTAATTATACCTCAGTAGGTAAACTAAAAGAAATTCTGAGAGAAGATCTTTATATTTTTATTCAATTAGCCAGTTTAAAATAAGTGTATGTAAGAAACTTACAGAAACATTATAAATATTAGATAAATATTTTTTTTTTTTTTTTTTTGGTCTGGATGAGCCACTGTTGGCCTTAGGGGCCTTCACAGATCCGACGGACTTGAGGTGGCCTGGCGCACGAGGCGCCTAGCCTGAACCTCGGCTAAATATTTATAGTATAACTGTATACTATACCTTTTTTTCTATGACTTTAGACATGTAATAAATGTTTACAAATATAAAGAAAGAGTTAAAAATTATGAGCTATACTCATTTGTAAAATATAAGGATAAACTTTGATCTTTCTTTTAATCTAAGGCTGAACTTGCAATTCACACATGCCAAACCTGAAGAAATATCACATATCTTGCAGTAATTTTTATGTAATGAAATTTTTGAATGTGATTTTGACCCACTTCAAAACTTTAGATTGAAATTGTGTACACTTATTAAAGACCAATGGCAATGCATTCATTTAAATTGTTTGTCCCATTATTCTGATCAGGACCTTTGACCTCTGACCTCTGATAGTGCCTTTGTGTCAAAAACGCGTTTAGAAAATGTGTAAAAAATAAAAAAACACGTTTCTGTATTTAGCAGAACAAATTGAAAATAATTTTTATATTAGTTAATACTTTAACAATATGATATTTTAAATCTTCCTCTAACTGTTAAAACAAATTACAGCTTTTGAATTAATGAATAATTCGATGTAAATGAATTGTGGCCACAAACAAGACATTCTTTACTAAGTCTATTTGATAACATATTCTGTATTTAGATATTTCAAATGCATTATCTTTATATATATAAAAATTTCGGCTCACATTGTTTTCACATGATAAACTCCTAAACTACTGAACCGATTTTAATTTTGCACATTGTGAGCAGTTTGATCCAACTTTAGAGATACGAGAGTTTACATCTCAATTTATAGACGCTATTTGCTTATTAAATGATAAAGAGTTATAATTATCTATGATATTTTTTTGATTTTTACTCTAATGATCTTGTGTGTTTGAGTGGGTTTTTGGACAGTTAGGAAATAAAATTGGACGCGGTAGGCGACGCTGCAATCGGTTCATAGTTTTTTAAAGATGTTTCGCGTTTAGAAATACGATTGAATCCGGTAATAACAGATTTGACGCAGACGAAGTTGCGCGGACTAGCTAGTTATTACATATATATATGTAGATAGACCATATACAGCTTCGTAAGTAAATTTTTGTTAACACTAATAATCTGCAGGTTTAGGAGGGGCGCGGTGATGGGATATCAGGGGGTTCACCTGAGCGAACTGCGGTGAGAGCAGTGTGGTCCTTACATCGTCGTGGGGCTGGGCAGCAGGCGTAGGCAGATGCGGGGCGAGGCGCTGCGCGTTGCGCGGCTCGCTGGCTGCGGCCACCACGTCCGGTGAGGCGAGCGCCGCTCCAAGCTCCACGCGGTCCGCTCCGGCCGCTGCCGCCGCGCTCGATCCGCCCTCCGCACCCGGCCCGCCTTCTGCAGGTGCGTTACCCAGCCCCGAAAAATAACGCTGCAGGTCAGATAGAAAAATCTGTCCACCTGCAATAATAACAACACCGTAACTTTCATCTATGTCAATTGTGACCAACTAATTTATTCTGTTGTTGACTGTGGGAACAAGTTTGCATAATATGACACATAACTATAGAACAATCGGCATTATAAATTGTTCGGAAACTCACTGCGCGGTTGAGTAGCACTCGCCGTGTTAGGTGGAGTCGCAGCGGGCGGTACTTCACGGCGGGTTGTGGTGCGTGCTGGGGCAGCTGGTGCAGCGGGCGCGGGAGCCGGCTCGCTCGTACGAGGTGCGCTGCCACCGCGGGAGCTTGCAGCACTGCCACCTGATGCACGGGCACTACCACTACCGGATCCCGTACCACTGCTGCTGCTGTTTCTGACAACAAAATTGAATGGTGTTGATATTATGAATCTTAAAATTCTCTAAGTGATGTAAGTGTTCAGTGCAAATGGGAGTTTTTTTTTAACAAAGTTCCAACAATAAGCAATTTACAAGATAACTTTATAACAACAATTGGAAATACCATATATTACATTTAGATACAGTACTTTCATGTGTTACTAAATATAGTTATACAAGTATTATCAAAAATCAGAATGAGTGGCAAAAGCAAAAAACAGCTTCAATAGAGGTCACAATATACTTAAAAATTATAATATACTTAAATTATAAAATGAAAAACAAATTTTATAATACCCCATAGTTCCAAGCAGCGATGACAAGCCACCAATTTGACCAACACCTCCAAAAAGTTGCATAAGTTGCTGTTGCGACATATTGTTAAGTAAGTTTTGCAGTTCTCCATCTTGTGCCCCACTACCTCCTCCACCACGCCCACCAGATGTTGGTGGGTTATTCAACGCTTCATTAATACGACGGCAATAGTCATCATCTTTGTCAGTTTTTGGCTCCTGTTATAAGATTACATTCAATAACTACACAACTTTATTTGAAAAGTAACACATTAATTCTCCTTGTTTGTTTCAGTTCACTGGCATAAATTAAAAATAATAATGCACAATTTTATACATATTAGTATGAAAATGAGAGAAAACAAAGAACAAGATACTCAAGGTGTGCATCCATATTCAGTAATAATAGGATTAAGCCATATTTTAAAACAATATTAAATTAAGTGTTAATTAAGTAGACATGTGAACAAAATGTGACCTAAATCTAATCTAATCGATGAAATCTCTTCATCCCCAATTTTTAATGTGCTTGAAGAGATTATACTTAGTTTACCAAGTTTAATTACAATGAAATTATAATTAAGCATGGAGATAAACAAGATGTTAAAATCTTCCTAAAAAACAAAACCTAGTTTAAAACATATTTAAAAAAATTAAAATAATAAATTTATAAAAATACTAGTTGAAGCCCTTAAATAAATATCTTTTTTAATAAAATGTACCCCTAGTCCTTTTAAATACCTTTACGACTATGTATACAAAGTTGTGTGTGTACATATAATATTATTAGGTAGGGATACTATACCTGCATCCAAAAGAAATACTTCTTTGAAAATGACTTAAATTTGAGTACATACACTCGCCCTGTAGTACATTCGTTAACACGGACAAATTCACAATCATCAGGGAAAATCAAAAGATCATCTTCAACCTCTCCTGTAGTCCGATCTTTCCAACAAAAATGCATTAGGGAGTCTTCCCCTTGATAAACATATAACAGTCCCTTCCTCTTGTCCGGATGTACCATGCGACCTTTTAAAGTCATTCTTCCAGCTAAAAAAAAAAACAAATAAAAAAAATACAAACGATATTATATTATGTATGGAAGATAAAAAAGTGACAGTGATCGTGCTGGTCGATACTTCTAACGCTTTTAACACAGTAATTGATCATGTTATCCTCAGTACTTCCCTAAAGTTCGCCTCCGTAGATATCCAAAGCTACTCTTCTTATTCAAAACAAAGGTTCTCATCTTATTTACGCCAACGTCAACAGTCGATTATTGTGGGACAAAAGTCTTCAAAATGTGCTAATATTGACTCTGGCGAACCGCAAGGCAGTATTCTCTCTCGCATAATGTTCTCAGTTTTTATAAACTCAATTACAACATGTCTTGATTATGCGTACCATCTGTATGCGGATGAGTTACCTCCTAACTGATATTGGTGACCTCCCTAACTTGTTTGCTAGATTAAACTTAAACCTAAGCGTTATTCAAAACTGGTCGATGCGTTATGGAAAATCTGTTAACCCGAATAAATGCCAAGCAATGCTTGTGGGAAGCAGTACATTGTTGGCTAAAATTGACATCGCATGACTGCCTGTTGTCTACCATTAACAATAAACGTATTCCGTTATCCAACTCAATTAAAAACCTGGGCCTCTTTATGGACAGCACAATGAATTGGGAAGTACAAGTCACTGAAGTTAGTCGTAAAGTCTTTGTAACTTCGCGAAACCTTTATCGTCTGAAGAATTTTCTCCCTTTCAAGATTCAGCTCTTACTTGTGCAAACGCTTATTCTTCCAATAATTGATTACGCGGATGTTTGTTACCCTGACTTGAACAGTGACCTTCTTAACAAGCTAAGAGTGCCAATCCAACAACTGCATTAGATACATTTTTGACCTTAAAAAATATCAAGCCCCGGGTTGACTGGGAGAGAATGCCAAAAGGCATTAAGTTCGCCCTTTGTAATCCTTTTCTTTAAAGGTATTTGCAATAAAGAATTAATAAATAATAAATGAAATATACGAATTACTTATACCAAGTTTTCGCCTCATTATCGAGGTGTGTCGACGTTGATGCGTGGACCGTACGGGTGGAAAATAGGTTGCCAGTGCCGAGAAGTATCGTATCCTCCCCCTGTGTAAGAATTTCAGGTAATCCTATTATATCCTAACGCAGCCTCTTAACATCTGCTTTCAGCTCTATTATCCTCTCGTCAGTCCCCAATGCTCTTGCGCTGTATGGTGCCAAAGGTGGTAGGGCCACGCAGCAGCCTCGGCTGTTGCACGAATAGGCAGGCTCGTCCGGGTAAGTACCACAACCTCACAGAAGACCGGCGTAAAGTGGAAGTATATTACTTTCGCGTTTCGTCTGGTGAGTGAGGTGGCCGGAGCCCAATTTTCAAAAGGGTGTAACAGATATCCGTGGGCGGCGGTATTCACTTAACATCAGGTGAACCATCTGCACGTTTGGCAACTTTTCACATTAAAAAAAAAGTCACCGTAGTTGGTAGTCGAATCCCAGCGCCCCCATTTACCTACCGTTACTATAACCGCTACCGTAGCTAGGAATAGCAGGACTGCCGGACACTGGGGGCCAAACGTCTTGTACACCCATGGACTTTTCTGCATTAGTTGCCAAGCTTAGCAAGCGGGATGGCAACAACAGTTCCACCAGATGTTTATAGCTTTACCCTAAGTCGACTCTTATGGCGTCGACGAGATGAGGTGGGGTGGCTTTTTCTTACGCCGGCACCACACGGCACTAGCGTCAATAAAACATTTAGAAGGAATCAATTTCCATTCAAGTCCGTTTCTTAAATCTTTCTTAATCTATCACGCATTCAAGATTACGATGACCTATGAATTTAATAGAAGATCCAGGTGATAAATAATTAGATTAATAGATTTTAACGTGTATTTTGAAAATATGTGCTTGCGGTAAAGGTAAATAAGAGGTTTTATCTACATATTTTGAGTTCTCGTTAATGATTTACCCTCGTTAGCAGTTTCTGTAAAGTTTACGCTTCCGTGAATCAATATTTTGTAACCGATTATTTAACGTTAGTATGATATCTCGTGATTAAATAGCAATTTCAACCTTATTACTCACTCAGCATGGGTGCAGCAGCAGCACAATCGATGCTAGATGTTTGTACTTCAATATGAGGGTCTGCGGGCAGTGGAGCGGATGGATTCATCGTACCACCGTCGTGCTACAGCTGCGTTCTTCCCCTGAGTTCTTCTTCTGCCTGCTTTTGCTTGCGGATTTCTTTCGATTAAGCTGTCCCAGCCGTTGGACGGTCAACCTTGCGAGTTTGACTTGGTTACCTCATGCGAGCATATTACTAGATTCTCGCGTGAGGAGTGACAGGCGAGACATTACGTACTTTTATGGTTGTATGAATATCAATATCAGTTTTCATTCAGCGTAACGCCGCGATTTTTGGCTGTCCTTTCCCATAGAATGGATTGGCGGAATTGTTTGAAGAGGGGAATACATTTTTCTTGATCGAAATAATTCAATAGAATCTTTGGTATATTATATTAGATAATTCTTCGAAAATTAAATACAATCATTATTACTATTAACTATTTACATTTATTATACACACTTCGACAAAATAGCAAAATGTTTTAAATACCATATCCTTTAAATTTCAAAGACTCGAAGTTCCGAAATAGCGTCACGTTATCTGTCTTCATTATCTGTGATATGCGTAGGGTATTTTTTCTCCAGCTTTAATTTGTTACTCAGCGAATTGCATTGAACACTATAGCTATAGAAGAAGAAACGAAGCATTTTATTAAGTCCAGCCAATTTCATTTCGTGAATTTATTGGAATTGTCGTTATCATCTTTTACTAATTTTTATACTATTAGTAAAAGACTGAAATCTGTATAGCTTTTCTTACCGGAATGAGCGGTGTTCAAACGGGTAAGTAAATTAGGTTTATAAGTATTTTATAATATATTTATATCTTTAATGGAAATAATAAATTTGGTGGTAATTATTATATATTAAATATAAAAAGTTATTCGACCATGAAATTAAAATATATTGTTGTTGCATGATTTGGTAGTTGGTAGCTTTTAAAACAAATTTGATGTGAATTATATTTTTTAAATACTGAGTCATTAACTAGACAATCAGTTCATTCTTTCTATGATATCAAAAAATCCTTAGCCTTAATTGTAAACTATATTTTGTATTTAACTCAGTTAAATGTTACTTCTAGTAGTTATTAATTTGAAGTTATTAGTGCAGTTTTTTGAAAGTACATTAATATAATTACATATTATAATCTCTCCAAAAATTCAATTTTTGATATAAGAAAAATACTAAAATGATTATTCTGGATATTTGCCCAATTTTAAATAATAAATGTAGGTATTGCTGATTCAACTTATTTCAAGAGATACAGGATATAATATGTTGAAAATATGTAATTAATTTTTTCACCATGAAATTAAATTTAAAATAAATATAATAAAAATTATAAAAACTACATTCTTTGTTTAAAAAGCACTAAAGTAAACAATGTTTAATTATATGAATTTTTAAATTTATTATTTTAATTGATAAGGTTATTTGAGTACACTAAAAAGTTATTGGTTTATACTTTCTGTAAATTAAAATATCCACTAGTTAATTCCCCATTGGCAAATAATATAGAACATTTAATTAGTTTTATTTCAAGAGTAATTTCTATTATTCAATGTTTATTATATTGGAACGAAGTTCCTTATGGCAGCCTTGGAGGGGATAGGGATTTTGCTGCGCGACCGAATTGAAAAAAATGTGATAGTAAAACCGTAAGCAAAAATCCATGGAAAAAAGTGCGTGGAATAAAACCGTTAAATGAGACGTGCGCAGGCGCGACAGTCGCATACACAAGCGAGTAGTGTATAATTTTGTTATTTTATTTGATAATTTGAATTACGATGTTTTTTTATTTTAAGTAACTTATTATTTCCCAAAATACTGAATTTCCTAAATACTTTCTTGTTCTAAAATAAAAACTATTCAGCAAAATTTAAGAGAAAAATCAAGAAAACCTACATAAAATTTAGCACGATTTTTTTGCAATTTGTGTCGATTCTACATTAGCCGAAGAAACTTCGTTCCTACCTGGTGTTCCACGACACCACATCATTATTATTTAAATATTTAATTCTATTCAATACAATGTTTACCATAAGTGTTACTTTTTGTCCTATATACATATATATATGTATATATATATATATATATATATAAGGAATAAAAATGCTAACATAAATTGTGTTATTGAATAATAATCATTATTGTCTTGTAACTATAACATAATTTTATCATAATATTAACAAATGTAACAGGTTCACTTGGAAGGCAAATTGGAATCAAACATAATAATGGTTCTCTAGGGCAAATAATTAGAAAATTTTTCCAATTTTATTTAGACTGTAGGTTGTATTCAGTGTGGCTTTGTTTCTTTTAAATTATTTTGTTAAAATTTTGACTTAATAAACCCAATTATTTTCGTTTCACATCTAATTATTTTACTACACATTATTGCATAAACCATTTTATCAGTGGACATGATTTTTTATTATTTGATTATAAAACTTGATTTAGAAATACATATTGAGAGAATTAGAAACTTTTCGGTTTCACAAAGCGCAATCAGAGACTCAATCGTTTCGGCAATCGGGTGTTTTTTGTACATTGTGTCGACAACTAAGGAATGACGTAAGGTCATCGTACATTGGTCCAGCGTTTGCGCTGCTTGCCGCCGCCCGCCACTCTCTCGCCTTCGGCACTGTCAATAAACTTTGATACAAGGTAAGTTCGTTTTGGAGTTGTTTTTCTCGTTGCCGGCGGCCGCTCATACCTGTATTCTGCCACATCTGATCTTGCTTGCATTCACTTAATTTTGGATTTATTGATCGCGAATATGCATTCGACATGTTTCGAGGTCAAGATCATGTTGTAAAATGGCAAGATTGTAAGTCGTGCGGCTGTCGGTGAAAGTGGCGAATACAAGAGCTCAGGCAACGACGCGAGACGGGAGCGTGCGGTCGCGCCAGCGAGGTCCGACGTGGCGATACAGTCGGAAAACGGACATATTGTCAGTGCTGTCAAACGCTTTTAAATTCGACGAGTGTTTATTATCTGTGATCGTTTCAACATGAAAGGCGTGTGCATCCTCGTACCGTCGGACGTTAGCATTCAGTCAGCATATGTTTTCTAATGAATATTTCCATATCGCCAATGTGTATCAAACAACATTCGCGCACGTACTCGCCGATCTGCTGTTTTGTTTTCGCTGTTGAGAGTATGACGGGCATCCGCGGCAGGAGAGGGAGATAGAAAGAGGAATGGCGAGCACAAGAGAGGCCAGTGCGGAGCCGGCGAGCCTGGAGTATATGGAGGATCCCTATTTTGTGCCGCCTGACGATGACTCGACGCCGAGTTTCGATGTAGCGGTGGACGAGCTCGACGAACTAGAGGAGTTGGCCAACTGGCCGCGAGACGTCGACGCCGAGGCCGAATGGCGCGCGCTGCCCGACCTCGCGGAGTCCGCCCTATGCATCGAGACCGAGTTCTACATGGACAACCGGCGCCGTCGGCTGCGGATCTTCAGGAAGAAAATCCGCGAAGTTCGCGTCACATTTCAGGATCTCTCCAAGCCGTACCTCGCGAAAGTCTCCAGTCACACGAACTACAAAAAGTTTTTGGGTATCACGCCCGGAGGTTAGTGCAGGCAGTACGATCGCAGGGGTCAGCTGAGGTTTTTTTAACGCTTCCGAAGAGGTGTGAAAATTTTGAATTTGTCCTCGTTTATAGGGAAGACACTCACTTTCAGAGGTGCCTTTTTAGTTTGCGCAAAGAAATCAAAAACGTTTGTCCGTCAACAGAACTTCTGTCGAGTAACCTGACCGACGGTGAGCTTATCGCAGCTTTTTAATTGTTCAGTAATATTAATTATAATAAATATCAGAATAGGCTTAAACGAAGGTCTCTTAGTTTATTCATCAAAAATGATGCGGTAGTTTACCTGCTTTGCCGCGAATATATACATAACAGCAATAGAAACCAAAATTTAAAATATATAATATAAAATGCAGTAAAAATATATTTTGCAGTTTAAAATGGTACATAGAGTTCGCAGTTTCGATTTATAAATGCAACAGAACCCTGTACCATTTGGATAAAAAGAAATAATGTTCGCTCCTACAGGACAAGCCTGTTGCGATTGTATTGTTAACGAAAAATAAAACGGACACGTACGCAATGTGTAGATATCAAATATACAATTAATTATTTTTTTGAGTAACGGAGAAAAAATAGTCATATGATTATCAAGAACGTATGAATACCGTTTCTTAGACGAACCGCCTTCGAAAATGGAATACGAATCGACTTGAACTGGTTTTTTTTTATTATTTTCTTCGTTCTTTAATCTGATTATCGCATCGAGGGATGTCGCAACAACGTAACGTTAAGATGTTATAAGCTCTGGTAATCTCATGAAAACTAACGGATTTTTTAAGGTAAAATACTATGGTTATAAGTAGGTTCAATTAATGGACCCCAGACCAACTTATAAAAATAATACCAAGAACATGTTGTATTAACAAATCTGAAATTACTTACAATATAATTTTATTAATTTACATAAAAAAATTTATTGGTTGGGATCGAAGATTAACATATACAGACAATAGTAATGTACAAAGATCATACTGACAAACAAATTTTGTTAAAGAAATTAAAATAAAATGTTATTTTAAAGCGTATAAATAGTCTCTGTAATATTACTATCATAACACTATTATAACAACAATATAAATAAGTAATAGTAGTTCTATGCTGAATTCTATATTCATAAAAAAATTACCTGCTCTGCTACGACCTCGCATGGGTAGTGAATCTGAGTTGCTTAGTAAATTTTGAATATTGAAAACACCCAGAGTCCAAACGGAAATAACCTATTTGGCTCTTTTAGTTTCCGATATCGTAACCGATAAGTTTACATTCAGAGCCCCTTAAGTGGTCATTCATGGTTCAGTAATTGAATATGGTTCTCTTTTTATATATACTAATTCCCATCATTATTAACACTGCAGCATTCGTGACGTTCTAAAGTCACGGTACCAAACTACTGCGTATGAAATGTTAGTTTGATCTGGTTTTACAGTGGTGGACTATTTAACTCCATAAATTAATACAATCCCAAATCAACTCTCGACATGTAAGCTTTTTACTTACTTCTGCCTTGGGACGAATCTGAAAGGATTTGGGGTTCATTATCTAATGTTATGGTTGCTACGTGTCTTTTAATTTTATTTTATGGATTTTAAAATAATTGTTTAAAATAATTTTAATTCAATAGTTTGTGGAAATCGCGAGAAAGGATCCAAATTTTTACGAAATAATGTATTTTAACTGAAAAAAAAAAGCCCAAACTTTGTTCTATATATCATTAAAATAATGTTACATTAATAAATCTGAGAAAGATAATGTAAGACTATCGGGTACAAGGTGTAAAATATCAAGGTATGCATCGAGTGCAATGGTACTAATTCAAAAAATAAATTATAAAAAAAATGTCCCAATTTTTGTAAAAATGAAAGTTTTTTTGGTTTATTTTATCATATTTCGTTCAGTTAAAATTTGATCCTGGATATTAAGTTATAGTCATTATTTATTATTTTATGTTCCGATGCCATACTAAAAGTAAAAGGGAATGCTTATTAAAGATTCAAAATTTAATGTCAGAAGAAACATAATACAAAAGAAAATTGTATGAAATTTTAATTTATAAAAACTGGTGGGTCTCAAAAAGTATGGAAAGTAGAGGAAAAGCTCAAATAAAACTTGTGATCGTCGAAGATTGATCTTTAAAAATAGACAGACACGTTTTATTGATTACTCCTGTAGGAGTTATCGCCCGAGATAGAAAAATCTTCATTAAATGAGCAATAAATCGTTTATAATAAGTTTTATAAAAAAAAATATGGTAAGTAAAAAATGCGAAATTCTATTGTCTATAATAATGGTCACTATAACTTTTGTCCTGCGGTGCGTAGTTCTCGAAATATTGGCCAACATATCCATACTAAGTAAAATCCTAAACCTAACAATAAAAAAATTGGATTGGATTTTTACCCAACTAATAGGGACAGCTAACGTTCTTCTTTTAGTCTGAACTGTCAAAATTACGTTAAGACAAGGTTTCTTAGATGCATGGTATTGGTACGTTGTCATTTTTATTACATAAGACAAAGTATTAAATTTGAACTTTAACTCTAATTATATTATAGTATACCCATTGTATTTATAGCAGTGCCACGATTATTGTGCAACATTACTGCGGCCGTGACTGGTCTAGTTTTCTTTCGAACCATAAATAATCTATAATTTTAATTTTAATTAAATTTCATCTTAAAAATTGTTTAACAGGCGTAGATATGTAGAATACTTTCCGTTATGCAGTATTCCTTTTCCAAAATTATTAACATAAAGTACGTTAGTTGGCTATTGATGACTTAAATGGTAATTTCTTGAAATTTCAAACACCGGCGTTAACTTTTTTTGTTCAAGTAGGAGCAACTTAATGAATTATTAAAACTATAATTTTTTTTATGAAAAACATTTGAGTCTGTCACGCGATTAAAGGTCTGTAAAGAGATCTAAACTCGAGAATTTAAAACAAAATTAATACGATAATATTCGTAAAATGAGGTCTATTTAACATATATACGTTCGCGTAAATTCAAGAAATCCATATAAAGAATATGTTGATCGCAAATTATAATAGTTTCTGAAACTATAACGTCAATATACATTAGTACTATTTTTCAAGTCTGTTAGTGACGTACAATAACAGAAGACATTTGTGCAAACATTTGACAAAATAACATAACGAAATCAAAGCGAAAATAAAACTCACCGAAGAATCGAAAAAGTGAATAGGCGTGTAAATATACTCTAATATATCCATCTGGAGCCGTGGCGTGTCGTTAGTCACATAGTATAAAACAACGTCGTCCCGTTGTCTGTCTGTCCCTATATAGATATTTAAAACTACGTAACTAATCTTGATGTATTTTTACTAGATAGAGTGATTCAAGAGGAAGGTTTATATGTACATTGCACCCGCGCGAAGCCGGGGTGGGTCGCTAGTTTTTAATATTCACCAATTTTTTTTCTATACAAATTTTTATCTAGCGCGGAATAATCATAAAAAAACAGACAGACAGCGGGACGACTTTGTTTTATACTATGTAGTGATGATACAATATTCAACTGCTAGTCTTGTTTAATGGCTTTATGGCAACCGTCATGAATGTCAGAATTTGATATATTCCTAGGTCAAATATCTACCATTATTGAGATGTTCAAATAACAAGTTCTTAACTCACCCAAAATACTTTTTTGCTACCACGGGATCCTTAAATCCGTCCTGGTAGCTAGTACTGATTATCTCGAATTTTTTTTATCTATCTGATTATCTCGATTATTTAAGTATTGACTGTCTGACCCCTTACATGGAAACTAGAGCGAACGTTAACATATTACTGGGACCAAGTTGATGACCATAGTTTAAAATCCGTTATTCTCCAACTTATTTCGATCATGTAATTAATTTCCATGTAAAAAAACGCGCCTTGCATTATACCTGGAAGGTTAGGTTGGTTAGTTAGTGAGGAAACGAGTGCATCATCATAATACACATCGCTTTCTCAGCGCTCTACTCCTGCTCGCGAGATATTTGCGAAAAACTGATTTTCGTGATCTATTGACCTTTATAACTTTTTAGCCGGCACAATATCAATGTCGATTTTTCACATCTTTATTAAAACGCCGTAATAAAGGTGTTTACAAAAATTCAGCTCACTAGTAAATTTTCCGCAGAGTGGGGTTTAAAACGCCTAAAATTTCTGGGCTAAGTGGCGACTAATTTGTAAATCCGCCTCTGCACGTAGCTGGTGTACTTATAGCCAGGTTCACCGTGGACGCGACAAGAACAGTTTTATCATAAGATAGAGATCCATTTTGGTGGAAAGTGCTTTCCTTACACTAGTTACACCGACCTTACTCGTGATTTCCTTTAGTTTCAACATCATAAATATAATTGTAGACGATATAACTCTCTAGCTTTACACGGTGCCTTATAAGGTGCCAAATCGTAACAGGCGATGAAAGTTATATACGCACACATTTGTGAAACAGGTTTTTGGACGTTTATAAAAAAATAAATTAAATAATTTAAAAACGAAGTCACATTTTATATGACCATAATTATCTTTATAATTGTAATGTACTGTCCCTCAGACTATTGATTACATTTATTCGTTAGCGATCATTGACTCCTATCTACAACTGTACGCTTTTAATTCGATTAGCGATGTGTGATTATGTTACAATTTGATCTTTTTTTTTTAAAAAAAATTAAACTGTTGAGTTTCTTGCCCGGTGTTTTCTCAACAGAAACTGCCTAATTTAATATTAGGGATGTTTTTATTTTTATTTTACTTTTTTTTTCTTTAAGTTTATTAAGTTGTCGCTGACTTGGCTAATATATTTGTTACGGACCTCGTGAATAATTGAAACAGTATTTTGAAACATTAATGAATTATTACGATACATATTTTTTTTATTAATATTTAAAAATTTCATAATTATACATATACAGCGTGTCGTTACAACCGCGACAATAAATGAACACACGTCTGCAATAATCATAA